CTGCTGGGTTCTGGCAATCCTTCTGTCTCAGCTTTCCAAGTAGCCGGAACTACAGGCAGACGCTACCACACTCGGTTAATTTTTTTTATTTATTGTAGAGATGAGGTCTCACCGAGTTGCCTAGGTGGGTCTTGAGCCCGCGGGCTCAGGCAATGCACTCACCTCAGCCTCCCAAAGCGTGGGATTCCAGGCTGAGCCACCGAGCCTGGCTCAAAAACCTATAGTTAATGTTACACGAAGGGGAACCCATGAAAACGAAATTTATTTATAAAAAATTGTGCATTTATTCTTACGTGTTTAAACTTCAGTCACCTTCAAAGTACTCTCTGCTTGATGTAACACACCTAGTGACGCTTTTCCACTGCTCAAAACAGTTTTTAAACTCATTAATTCTGATGCCTTTTCTTGCTTCTGCCATCTTTTGCTTCTCTTCTTCCACATCAGCAAAACGTTTCCCTTTGAGGACTTTTTTCATCCAGGGAAACAAAACTAAGTCACTTGGGGTGAAGTCGGGCGACCAGGGAGAGTGTGGCACGGGGTCATGCTGTTTTGGGTCAAAAGCCGCTGAACACTCAGCGCAGTGTGGGCAGGTGCTTTGTCACATGGAAGAACCAGTCACCTGCTTGCCACAACGTGAGATGCTTCTTTTTACTCTTTTCTTTTGTATTGAGTCAGAGTCTCATTCTGTCATCTAGGCTGGAGTTGCAGCGGCACGCTCACGGCCAACACAGCCTTGACCTGCTGGGCTCGGACGGTCCTTGCACTTCAGCATTCCAAGCAGCTGAGACTACAAGCTAATTTTTATTTTACTTTATTGTAGAGATGAGATCTCACCAAGTTTCCTAAGCTGGTCTCAAACCCATGGGCTTAGGCAAACCTCTCACCCAGCCTCCTAAAGTGCTGGAATTAGAGGCATAAGCCACCACACCTGGCTGAGACACTTCTTCTATAACACAGCTTCTCACAACAATGCTAGCTAGTACACAGATGCCAGTGGGTTCCTGGAATGCTCACCTGGTGAAAGGAGACTGTACTACAAGGGACCTGCCCTCCAAAAGATGATTCTGTGTTTTGGGTCCCCCCTCCTCACACTCCAGGGTGAAAGACTGAATGCTTTCCCCGAAGACAAGGCGAGAACATCTGCTCTTGCCACTCTTATTCAGTAGAGTACTGCAAAGTTTAGTCGGTGCAATATGGCCAGCAAAAGGAAATAAAACAGAAATAAACTGCCCTATTTGTAGGTGACAGTACACAGACAGTCCTAAACAATCTACAAAACATCACCTAGATAGGAAGTCACTTCTCTCCCCTACCTTGGGGAGGAAAAATCTCCTCTTTCTCTCTTTAATTTACTTTCTAAATAAACTATATTTTCCAATCTAAAAAAGAAAGAAGGAAGGTCACAGGATACAAAATAAGCATATGAAAATCAATAATATTTCAATATACTAACAATGAACATGCAGATGTTGAAATTAAAACTATAATACCATTTATAATTGCTCGAAAATACTTGGCTGTAAGTCTAACAAAATATGTACAGGACTCACATGAAGAAAACTACAAAACACTGAAGAAAGAAAATAAAAAAGCTAAATAAATAGAAAGACATACTGTGTCCACAGGTTAGAAGATTCAGCATAGAAAAGATCCCAGTTGTCACCAAACTGATATACAGGTTTACTGCAATTTCTACCAAAATCACAGTACAATTTTTTTGTAGCTATAGATAAGATTGTTCTTTATACGGAAAAGCAAAGGATAAAATATCTAAAATAATTCTGAAAAAGAAGAATAAATTACAAGTAATCACTCTACCCAACATTAAGGCCTAAGTGCAGCTGCAGTAATAAACACTGTGTGGAGTTGGCAGAGGAACAGACATAGATGAATAGAACAGAACTGAAAACCCAGAAACAGACCAAAAATATATATACACGTACAATCGATTTCCGGCAAAAGAACAAAGGTATTCAGTAGAAAAAGGATAGCTTATTCAACAAATAATGCTGGAACAACTAAACATTCATAAGTCAAAAAAAAAGTGAACCCTAACCTAACCCCACATCTAATATAAAAATTAACTCAACAGGGTCATGAACATAAGCGGAAAATGTAAAACTATAGCACTTTTTTTTTTTTTTTTAACAAAAACACAGAAGAAAGTCTTCAAAATCTAAGGATGGGCAAAGTTTTTACACTTGACACCAAAAGGACAATCCACATAAGAACATACTGAGAAATTAGACCTCATCAAAATGGAAACTTTTGTTCTATAAAAGAACCAGTTAAGAGGATAAAAAGATAAACAACAGACTAGAAGAAAATATTTGTGACCACATATCTGACAAACGACCGCTACCCAGAATACATAAAGACCTCTTAAAATGCAACAATACAGAAAATAATTCAATTTGAAAATAGAAAAGCTGGGTGCAGTAGCTCATGCCTATAATCCCAGCACTTTGGGCGACCAAGGTGAAAGGATTGCCTGAACCCACGAGTTCAAGACCAGCCTGGGCAACTGGCAAAATCTCATCTCTACAATAAATAAATAAATAAGTAGCTGTCCATGGTGGTGTGCACTTGTAGTTCCAGCTACTTCAAAGGCTAAGGCGGAAGGATCACCTGAGCCCAGCAGGTGGAGGCTGCGGTGGTGGTGAGCATGCCACTACACGTCCAGCCTGGGCAACAGAGTGAGACTCCGATTCAAAAAAATAAAAAATAAAATAGAAACAAGACACAAACATTTTGCCAAATAAGATACACAGATGGCAAATACATGAAACATGTTTAACATCATAGGTGTTCAAAACATGCAAACTGGCTAGGCATAGTAGTTTGTAGTCTGTAATCCCAGCACTTTGGGAGGCTGAGGCAAGAGGATGGCCTGAGCTCAGAGGTTCAAGACCAGCCTGAGCAACATGGCGAGACCTTGTCTCTACAATAAATCAAAAAATTAGCTGGGCGTGGTGGCACATGCCTGTGATTCTAGCTACTTGGAAGGCTGAGGCAGAAGGATCACCTGAGCCCAGCAGACCAAGTCTGCGGTGGCTGTGAGTGTGCCACTGCACTCCAGTCTAGGGGACAGAGCGAGACTCTGACCCAGAAAAATAAAAAAGAAAAGAAAAAAAAAAGAAAAATGCAAACTGAAATCACAATGTATTTCACCACATACCCATCAGAATGGTTAAAATAAAAAGACAAAATGTTGGCAAGAACTGGATCCTTTATACGTTGCTGGTAGAATGTAAAATGGTACAGGCATTCTGGGAAACAATTTGGCTGTGTCTTCAAAAACTAAACATACAACTACCATATGACTCAGCAATTGCACTCCTGAGCACTGATCACATAGAAATACAAACTAGCAGGGCTCAGTGGCTCAGCCTGTAATCCCGCACCTTTGGGAGGCTGAGGTGAATGGATTGCCTGAGCCCGTGGGCTCAAGATTCGCCTGGGCAGCAAGACCTCATCTGTTCAATAAATCAAAAAATTAGCCGGGCGTGGTAGCGCACGCCTGTAATTCCGGCTACTCAGAAGGATCGCTGGAGCCCAGCAGGTCGAGGCTGCGGTGGCTGGGAGCGGCCACTGCACTACAGTCTGGGTGACAGAGTGAGACTCCAGCTCAAAAAAAAAAAAAAAAGGTTATATAACAGTGTCATTCCACATATATAACACTCTTGAAACGACAAAATAACAGAAATGGAAATCACATTGTGGTTACCAGGAATTAAGGAAAAGGGGAAGAAGAGAACAGGGGTGGTGAACAAGAAGGAAGTGAGTATGTCTCAAAATGGTGACAGGTGGGGTCCTTGTGGCGACGGAAGGGATTCTTTGGTGTCCTCTCTGCATCAATGTCAATATCTTGGTTGTGATAGTACACTGTCATTTTAAGACTGACTATAAGGGACATGGAATCTCTCTGTATTACTTCTTACAACAGCATGTCAATCTATAATGATCTCAAAATAAACACTTTTTCTAAAAAGAAAAAGTAAAATTCCTCCCAAAGTAAAACAAGTTTATACAATCCCACAAATCTGATCTCCCAGTGTTATTCTCTGAAACACAAGCCAGAAACCAAGCAACTCCGTCTCCTTCATCTTCCGTATCGAATCCAAGTCTGCAGCTTTTGTCTCCCAGATCTCTCTGAAACAGGGTCGGTTCTTCCTGTCTGCTATCACTAACGTGCTCCAAGTCATTCACGCATCCATCATGTAGCCGGAAGCCTACTCTGGCCAGGTTTTAGGTATGGGGGAAATGGGAATGACTACAACCGGCAACACCACAGACGGGAGCTGGCGATGCCCGGGAAGAGACAGATATGGAATAAGTAGGAACCATGAAGCGATGACAGGCACCAGGAGGGGAAACAAGACCTGATGAGGGGGATGGAGGCTATGCTTCAGGTGAGCTGTGCCCATCTGAGCAAGAGCCTGTGGAACACCAATACGTGAGTCACTAGGGCATGTGGCTGTCAAAAAGAATAGTCCCAGAAGAGAAAAACAAGTGCAGACACCCTGAGGGGGGTCTGGTTGGCTTCCCTGACAAGCAGCAGGGCAGCTCGGGGCATCAGTCCTCAGAGGAAGGCGGAGAAGAGGGAGCCGGGGCTGGACCACATGGGTCTCTGAACACCACAACGGAGACTGGGCCGTGGTGGACTGGAGGAAAGCCACTCAAGCAATGCGACCCACCGATAGCCCTCAGTCCCCACTGCTTGACAGCGCCTCGCCCGTTCTTCTCTGTCTTCTCTCAGGGTTGGTCACAGACTCCTCCTCCTGAGGCTTGGTCTCCAAGGGTTCCGTCCCCTGGGCTCCCTCACTGCTCAGCCAAGCCTTCAAAAGCCTCCAGCATGCAATGCTCCCTGATTGTCCTTTGAGTCCCTGCCCTACCACCCCACAAACCTGCCCACTGATGACCTCTACTTGAGTGTTCCCCTGGTACCTCGCCTGCAAACCATCCCATGGGACACCTCCACTCACATGGGTCCCACTCACCCAGTGAGGAGCCGCCCGAACCTTCCTTCCCCACCTTCCAGGGATCTTCTCCTCGCTGCAACAGGGAGATCACTCTGGGCGTGGTAAACAGGAACCCTGCTCCTAGACAACACAAAAAACCCAGGCTTTGTTTCGACAAGAGGTATCCCAGATTTAAGCGTCCAATTCTCAGGATGGTACAAAGCTTCTGTGGGTGCTTGGCATGTGCCCCATGAGTAAGGAAGGAGACACGTTCAGGAGAAGGCAGGTGACTTGCAGGACGAGACTCTGGTATAATTCACTGTATGTTAGGGGAACATGGTAAGCGTGCAGCCCTGGTGATTAGGAGGGTTCCATCAGTTTCTGTATAAGAGGATGGTCACATGTACAGACTGACTGAGTTTAGGGGTTCGAGACCAGCCTGGGCAACTTGGTGAGACCTTGTCTCTACAATAAATCAAAAAATAAGCCAGGAGTGGTAGCACGCACCTGTAGCTCCAGCCACTTGGAAGCCTGAGGCAGAAGGATCACTTGGGCCCAGCTGGGGGCTGCGGTGGCTATGAATGTGCCACTGTACTCCATCCAGCCTGGGTGACAGACCAAGATTCCAACACAAAAAAAAAAAAAAAAAGGAAGGGACTATGGACCAGGTAGCCTGTTTAAAATGAGAAAACTCTCTCCAACTCCTCTCAGAGACAATAGTGGCTAGCAACCCACAGGTGCGGGCCAGATCCAGAACCTGTCTACTTATGCAGGGTCTTGTGCAAGCAACGGCAGGAAAAGGAAAGAACCGTGTGCCAGACCCTTATGTGGCCCACAGAGCCTGAACTATTTGCTGCCCTGTCTTCATAAAGAGTTTGCTGACCCCTGGAACAGACGAGTGAGAAGGGCAAGTGGTAAGTTCGGAGGCCGAACGAAGCCCTGGTGCGAGATGAGCCCGCGAGCCTGGGACGAGGGGGGAGCATCGCCCAGTCACGCAAGACCCTGTCACGTGCATCACACAGAGGGGGCGGCTATCAGACACCCCCACCCTCACACACAGCAAGCCCGTGCCTGGAAGGGGGAAGAGTGGGCTTTTCATGCTGACTGAGAGAGACCCAATCTGTGTGATCCTCGAGCTCAGCTGAAGTGTCTTGGTGCCCCCGTGTGGACCCCATCTCTGAGCCCCGTGTCCCGGGGAGCCCCCTTACCCAGCGAGACCAGGTTCCTGTAGTTCTCCAGCATCACCTCCCGGTACAAGGTCCTCTGAGAAGGATGCAGCTTCCTCCACTCATCCCGAGTGAAGAGCACGGCCACGTCATCGAACGTCAGTGACACCTGCCGGGACAAGTCATTGCAGCCCACCCAAGACACCCCTTAGTGTGAAGAGGACAGCAAGGGGCAGACAGGCCACCCATGAAACGCTCCTGATAGTATTCAGGGTTCTGAAGGTTCCACATCACTTGTTTAATGAACAATGGACTAGCGACAAACATACCCTGGGCAGTACACGGTAGGAAGCGTGCCCGTGTCAGCCCCTGTGAGGGATGGGCAGCAGGATGACAGCCACTGGTGGGACTGTTCATCAGAATCCTTTTTCAGATGGCGATCTGATAGTATATATCGGAACCATGTATATATACTTTACCTCATCAGTTGCTATATTTATACTGTAACAAACAGGGCACAAAAATACACAAAGGCAATTATCATGGAGTTTGTAGCAGCAAAAAATAACATTGAAACAACCCAAACCCTCACTGATGGAAACAAGGTAAAATAACTTATGGCATTATCTGTCTGCTTACTCAAGATTTAGGAGAGTACTGACAAAAACCAGAGCAGCTCTCTTTTCCTGAATGCTTGACATGAGCCAACATAGTTTTCAGAGCTTTACATTAAGCTTTAGTATATACTTTAATCTTCACAATTACCCTGTGAAGAAGATGCTGCTACTGTTCCCGTTGTAAGCTTTTTCTATTTTAAAATTTGCTATGTATGTTTTACTTTTTAAGCTATTGTGTTGAGAACAAAAACATAAACACACACAGGAGGTTAGGCCCCCACAGGGCCAGGATGATCAATATCACTCTCTTCATCTCCCTGTCCTGGTCCACCGGAAGGTCTTCAGGGCAGTGGCATGCATGGAGCAGTCACTCCTAGGACAACAAGGCCTTCTTCTGGAACACGTCCTGAAGGGCCTGCCTGAGGTTGCTTTACAGTTAACTCTTTTTTGTAAGTAAGCAAAAGGAACACACTGGGACACAGAAAGGACAGCAAAGTAAATCCATAAACCAGCAGCACAGTCGTTTATAACCACCAAGCGCTACGTCCTGTGCAAGAAAAAGGTGTCTGCGCTTTACAGGACGGGCAGCACAAGTACAAGAGCCGTCTTGACCTACAATGCAGCAATGGCCAGGCCTCGGGGAGACAGGAATGTTTCGGATCCACTACAACCTCTGGGACCACTGCCACATGCACGGTCTTTGGTCTTCCAGTGCCCAAACGTCATTATGCTGCACAAGACTGTATACACATCCACATCCATACACACATACTGATAAACACAAATACATACACATCTATCACGTATACGTACGCATGTCTTATTCTCTAAAACTTCTACCATGACCCTGCAATATTTTTACAGTAAGAACATCAAATTATTTGCATATAGGGAAAGGTACAAGAAATTATCTTTGCCCTCAAAGAATTTATAATCAAAATAGCAGACTAGTAAATGTATGAAATAACAATAAAAAAAACTGCACAGCGGGACAGGCTCTTAAAACATCTCCTAGTTCTATTCTTATGTATTCTTAGGTAAGGTACACAAGGTCCAGGGCAGATGAGTCCTGGGGTCACATGCTATATTAGTGGCAGGGGCAAGACCACAGCTGAAGCCTTCTAACTGTGAAGTCAGCACTTGGTACATTTTCTCTCTGGTCTTAAATTCCCATCGCACATGCTGTACACGAGTCCACCCAGGAAACACGCACAGCAGCAGATGCAGGGAGGGAGGCCACCCTTTGGGGTCACTCGCACACAGAGATGGGGAAGATTCTGGACAGGACGGCACCTGGGCATGGCGGGAAGGGAGTGGGAAAGTCCTAAAGGAAGAAGGGCAGCTCCACATACAAGGGCCTCAGAAGATCCAGCCCCACGGCACTCGCTGGGCTAAGGCTAACGCCATCCCCTTCACGCGCTGGATCTGCCCTGCTCTGGAAGCGAACCCAAGGAACAACTGGGCCCGCCAAGCGTGAACTGAGGGTCAGATGCACCGTGCCTGAATTCAGGCTACTTGACTTCCCTGAGCCTTAGTGTCCTCCATACAATGGGAATTAGCCAGGCTCAGTGGCTCAGCCTGTAATCCTGCGCTTTGGGAGGCTGAGGTGAGTGGACTGCCTGAGCCCGTGGGTTTGAGACCCGCCTGGGCAACTTGGTGACACCTCAACTCTACAATAAATCAAAAAACTAGCCGGGTGTGGTAGCAGGCGCCTGTAGTACCAGCTATTTGGAAGGCTGAGGTGGAAGGATAAAAAGAAAATGGGAATTAACTGCTGTGCTGCTGAGAGCCAGAAAACAAACTTAAAGCCCTTGGCACAGTCGCCAGGACGCCAGACACACAGTCAACATCAGCTGTGACCGTCGGATGAAGAGAGTAATGAAAGGACAAGCATTTTCTGGGTCCTAGAAACACGACAGCAACTTCAATCTGCCAACATCACCGTCCGCTGACACAGCGACCGCGCGCTGAGCAGTCGCTGTGTGCCCCGTCCCGACCTAAACACCTTCCACGCACTAACCCGAGTGATCCTCTCGCCCACTCTAGATGTGGACACGGCTGTGATTCCCATTTGCTCTCTTTTAAAAAAGTTTTATTTTAAAGATGTGGGGGCACAACTCAGGGTTA